TTATTGACCCGATGGATGTGGGCTGAATTTGTATATACCTCCTAAATATTAGAACTGCCACCATGGAAATGGTTATTATATTGCTATATGGCCAGATTTATGCAAAAATATTTTTTTTTTAAAGCACATTCTGCCCTAGTTGGTTTGGCTCAGTGGATAAAGTCTCATTGGCCTGCAGTCCAAAGGGTCCCTGGTTCAATTCTGGTCAAGGGCCTGTACTCGATTGCAGACTTCTCCTCAGCCCAGGCTCTGGTTGGGGCTCGTGCAGGAGGCAACCAACTGATGTGCTTCTCTCACATCGTTATTTATTTCTCTCTGTCTTTCCCTCTCTCCTGCTTTCTCTAAGTATCAATGAAAAAATATCCTCGAAGCATAATAACTTGTTAAGGATCTCACAGCAACTAAAAGAGCCAGGATTTTTGACTCCAGAGATTAAACTTTTATGCAGCAATAAGCTTGATCTTTCTCTTGGATCTTCCTTTCTGTTAAAATGTAAAGGGACCTGGCATGATGCTTGCATGTTTTGGGCTTATTTTAGGAGGATGATCCCTTATAAATCACCCTAGGCATTTTAAACAAAATTCTTCATTTTTAATGATTTGCATAGCATTTTAAGTTAACTGTTAACCAAAGCCAAACTTGAGTAGCTGATTTCAGGTCCATTTTATTGATTGATTGATTGATTGATTGATTGATTTCAGAGAGGAAGGGAGAGAGAGAAAAAGATAGAAACAACACTGATGAGAGAGAATCATCAATTGGCTGCCTCCTACAAGCATTCTACTGGGGATTGAACCTGCAATTCATACATTTACCCTTGGCTGGAACCAAACCTGAGATCCTTCAGCCCACAGGCTGATGCTCTATCCACTGAGCTAAACCGGCTAGGGCTCAGGTCCATTTATATAGACATAAATAGAATCTTGAATTATAGTTTAAAAAAATAAGGACTGTATCAATGGCCAAATTTATGAATTAAATACATCGAGATAACATCACCAAGTCAACTTATACATAAAACATCTTTTTCTTTTTTAATATCAGAAGAGAATATATTTATAAAAATACCCTATTGATTTCTTTTGAAAATATCAGTAATTTACATGTATTTGAGCTTTGACAAATACATGCCCCCATGTAAATCCCACTTCAAGCATGATGTAAAATATTTTCAATACCCCATATACATATTAAATTTCAAATTCTCTTACGATTTCACCATGTTACAACCTCTGGATATCAGATGGTCTTGCCCATCATGATCTAGAAGTAGACAAGGACCAATTAAGATAAATGAGCCTGAGAACATTATTTGAGGAAATGATTGCTGTGCATAATTCTAACAAGATGCTTTTTCAATCTGCTGATGTTCCCTTAGCACACGGACTTGAAACAAAATCCAGGCTTGAGCACCAATAAGTCACTCTCCATTGGACTCTCCATTATTGCCGTGGTATTATTGCTCACTATTTTGGCTGCCTTAGTTCCCACAAGTAAGTCATTTCAGAACTGTGCAGAGTGAGGGCTGTAGAGCTAAACTGGCTGGGTCTAGGGAGCTTCACACACCACGTACTTTTGATTTCTCATAACTTTCCTGTTTTATAACCTTGTTATTTTTTGTTTATTTCTCAAAAATATTGGCCTGTTAAAAGAAAAAGGAAATTTAAGTTCTCCATAGGAGAAATAAAACACTACGAAATGAAAGTTTGTTGGGTGGAGTTGGGATAAGCAGATTTGTTCACTCTTCCTCCTCCCTTCCCCTCAAGACCCCATTTTTGCTCCTGTAAAGAAAAATATTGTTGAGAGTCTTTAAACATTCAATTAACTGAAGAGGGAAATGAGACATTGGAGGGGAAACAGATTTCAGGCAAGGCTAGTCCAATAGGTTTCAAAAACCAGCCATCCACCAGATCTGTATGAATGTGTGTGTGTGTGTGTGTATTTGTGTGCATGTACATGCATGTTCAGCTAGCCTCCATGGAAGAACCACAATTATCCATTTTTGAAAATGAAAAATAATTATTAATAATTGCATGAAAGTAAGTTTGGGCATATGTGTGAATACACTAAACCATTAATGAACATGAGGTAATTGCACACGGGGGCTTCTTTGGGTCCTACAGAGTCAGCAGTCACAAGGAAGAGCCTAGTCTGAATTTTGTTTATTTTCCTTTTAAAAAAAAACACATTTGTTTAGCCTGGCCAAGGTGGCTCAGTGGTTGAGTGTCATCCCCTGTACCAAGAGGTTGCTGTTTTGATTCCTAATCAAGACACTTGCCAGGGTCATGGTCTCTATCCTCAGTAGAGAGCTTTCAGGAGGAAGCCAATGTTTCTCCTTCTTCCTCTCCCTCCCCTTTCTCTTTTGAAAAATCAATAGAAACATATTAACAAACAAAAAAACAAACATATTCTTCTAAATTTAATTTTTTCCACCTCTGGCTTTGTACAAATTTTGTTTATATTAAAGTAATAGCAGAAGTAATATACATGGTCAGAAAAAGATCTCAAACTCTTTGACTGACATGTTTTATTTTCTCTTCAACTCTTCCCCAATTTAGAATATTTATGTCAGAAAAGAAAGGTGTTTCAAAGAAGGTAAGCTTGAAGGGTTTGTGTCAATGCCTTTTGATGTTTCTACTCTAGTAAAAAATAATAATGATAATTCTCTTTGTTCCTCTTCTTTCTCTCCCTAACTCCAGTTTATAACCTGGATCCTGAAAAATCTAGTTCAATGGATGCCTCCATCACTATCCACACCTTCCAGTGATATTGTTAGCTTTCTATATTCCCATGGAATTGTGCCATGAACTTCTATAGAAATAGCACTTCAATCCTAAACTCTTAGACTAAGGGAACTAAATCTCAATAGTGTTTGATGAAATTAAGTTTGAATAAATTGTTTGGTTTGTTCTCGATTTTCATTCAGTGCTTTGTCTACTGAAAGCAATCAACAAAACAGACAGAACATTTAAGCAAGTCCCAGGGTCCTTTTAGTGCTTACAGGCAAATATAATAGCATGGGGAGTGTAGACCAGGGTAGTGGGCTGTGTGAGTGAGCCTGATGGAGTAGGAGGCGACTGGCAAAGATCTAGAGAAAGACAACTTCAGGCTGAAGCACAGCAAAAGCATAGTTCCCCGTTCCCTGTCGTTCCACACCCAGCATGCTCTGCTACTTTACGTTAGATATCTGGCCTCATAAGCATTTGATATACAATTTTTGTAAATCTCACCTATTGCCCAATTAAAGTTTAAATCTTTACTTTCATCCACCTCCTGTATCCATCTAAACAAACACCTGTAATGGTATGAAATCCCTATTTACCATCAACCCTGGTTAACCTGCTTCTTTTAGTCCAGTTTGGGCTTTAAGCAAGGTCTTTGATTCACTAGCCATCCCTCTGAGGCTGCCATTCATTATTCCTGGTTCTGTTTTGTTTTTTTTAAATATATTTTTATAGAGAGAAAGTGAGAGAGAGAGCTAGAAACATCGATGAGAGAGAAACATCGACCAGCTGCCTCTTGCACACCCCCTACCGGGGATGTGCCCGCAACCAATGTACATGCCCTTGACCGGAATCGAATCTGGGACCTTTCAGTCCACAGACCGACGCTCTACCGCTGAGCCAAACCGGTTTTGGCCCTAGTTCTGTTTTGTTGGATGTCAATCTTTCCTATGTCTTAGTTCCATGAGCCAATCCACAGAATTGCCTTGAACAATAACCAACATATTGCAAGTGGTCCATAAATGTTGGTTTTTATTATTGCAATAATGACTACATAGAAATAAATCTGTGAGACAGGCACTATTATTCTCACTTTATACATTGGAAGTCAGGTTCAGAAACATTAAGTGACATCCAAGTTCATACCATACAGCAGATAAAAAACTCAATAGTAAGTCTTTTGGGGTCCAGAATCCACACTACAGATTTGACTATATGCTTCCAGCAATAGAAAGGGGGAAAGAATAGTCCTTAAGGCAGAAAAGCATGATTTCTTGTCCTTGCACTGTCAATATTTTCTTTATGTATTTTTTAGTTGATTTTTGCCCTTTTCCTGTCAACATATTCTTTATATCTACTTCTTATAAATTATAAAAGAAAAATTGTAGGAAATATTGTAAAATATAAAAAAGAAAGAATGAGAGAGAGAGAGAGAGAGAGAGAGAGAGAGAGAGAGAGAGAGAGAGAGAACGCATTTATGACGACACCTTTGGGGCAGCTATTTCACGCTGACTCATTTTGAACTCTTGACACCTAAACTGGTTCTCACGTATATGCCTGTTTTTTTTTTTTAAGATCTGAGTTGAGTGAAGACTCTACATTTCATATCATTTCTGGGCAGGCTCAGGTAATAAAAACCATCACTATATACAAATTATAAAACAACAGTTATATCAGACCTCTACACATAACCTTTTCATACATTTGTTGTGTGAGTGTATAAGTTATGAAAGTCATCTAACTCATAGCTTTCCCATTCTGACCATAAAAACACAGTAAGACTTTTGACACCCTGATCCAATCCAGTACATACTTACGTGAAGCAACACTATTACCATATAACACACACTGATATTTTGTATTCTGTTTATCCTAAATACAGGAAGTAGACAACTATGTAGATTTAATAACCCTCTCTAAAGAGTATGATCCACAGTTGGAAAAACACAAGCCAAAACATTTCATAGCCACCTTTGTGAATATGCATCTTGATTTAGTACTTCCATTTCATATCTGACAATTGTCTTAGATTTTCAACTGTTGATTCTATTACATGGATATCTTGAAAGAGAATAGTCTGAATGTCTTAGGTTTTGTTTTACTATTTTTTTTTTTCAATTCTGCTTCTTAAATTTTCCCACAATTTAATATTTACAACTCTGGAATCTTCTAGTCATTTAATAGGTCGTGTGAATGGGACACTGGTAGTCAAATAGACAAATGTACTGTTTATTATTTAGAAGTGGTTTGCACTTACTCACGTTATTCTTTTTGTAGCAAAGAAACTCAGACCGCTACTTTGCAAAATGAAACTGCAGTGTGCTACCAAGCACATGAAAACATCTCCTTTAAGAACAAGCTTTACAACGTGCGTTAAGACCAACGGTTCTCCACGACTTTAGGCCCTTGACTCCAGAAGGCAATGACCAGATCTTACCATGTCTGTCCTTGTAAGCTCCAGGATGATTTTTCTGTCCATATTTCATGGCGTTATAGGATGTCAATGATGTTGATTAGAGTGTCTTTAGCTCATCAGTGTGTAGTCACCCTTATTGGTAATTAGTCTTAATTTTTTATACTACAATTGGCTCAGTCTTTCTGGTCATAGCAGAGCCCTCTCCCAAATATGAGCTGAACACTTTAGAATTGTGTATTCTGTTTAGCTTTATGAATCATGTATCCATCAAGAATTCTCATTGGGAAGACAAGAAATGAACCAATACTTTGGTCACCATAAAACATTGGAATAGGACTTAAAATCAGAAAATCTGATTTGGTCCTTAAATGAGTTCACTTGGAAGCATTTTTTTTTCTCTTGCAACTCATAATGTTAAACTTCTTAAGATACTGTAGGCTTTCAAATCATGGAGGTTCACAGGTTTTTATTTACCTGATGGGGAAATAAAGTTGGTATGGTTCCCCATTAGATCTTTTTTGGCTCTAAGGTTTTAAGTGCTTCCCCTGAGACTAGGATGAGGTTTTTAGTAGTTAGAAGGAGCTAGGATGTTTAGTGTATGAAGTAATAAGAAAATCAATTGCCATGTGATTTAACACATGTATGCTATTTTTGCTACATCTGTGTCATAGTTCCAGGAACTCATATAGACCAGTGTCAGAAAATCTGAATGAATTTTTAGAATGATGCAGGACAGAGATAAATAAAAGGATAAACGAAAGGGAGAGAACAGGGGAAAAGGCTTTCTGCTTAGAAAAGTAAGTTTGCAAATATAATAGTATTGTTTGAGAGTGTTTTTAGTTTCAACTGAAATTCTAAAATTTCCCCAACCACTTAAATTAAGACAGGAACCACTATATGATCCAATAATCCTACTCCTGTTGATATACCCAAAAAACTCAAAATCACATATTTGCAAAATATATGCACCCTTATGTTCATTGCAGCATTATTCACAGTGGCTAAGACATGGAAACAGCCAAAGTGCCCTGCAATAGAGGGCTGGATAAAGAAGATGTGGTACATACACACAATGGAATACTACTCAGCCATAAGAAAGGATGAAATAGCGCCATTCTCAACAGCATGGATGGACCTTGAGAAGATTATGCTAAGTTAAATAGACAGAAAAAGCTAAGAACCATATGATTTCACTCATATATGGGATATAAGGTTGAAACTTATGAATACAAATAGCAGTGTGGTGGTTGCCAGAGAGAAGGGAGTAGGGGGAGATGGGGATCCTAATATGAGATAACAGGAGAAGATTTATCTTTGGTGGTGGGCACATGATGTAATATACAGATTTTGTAACAGAAATCCACACATGAAACCTATATGTTCACATTGACCAATGTCACCCCAAACAATTTAATAAATAAATTTAAGGAAAAAAAGTATTATGGAAGGATGAATGTTTCTTTTCATATCAAATTCCAGTGCTCTTTCTTTTTCACAATTGAATTAAATTTTTGGTTTTTCCAAGAGAGTTAAAGCAAAAAAGTAAGGATATTTTTAGCCACCAGAAATTTTTTTTTTCCTCTTTAAATCAGGACATCTGTACATGAATTGTTCACAGGGCTAGGTAATAATTTCAATTTGAAGTAATCTTGAAATAATTCACACTTGTGGTTCAATGCTACTCACACTGTAATGGCCTAAGAGGGTGGGATGCTTGTTTTTATTTTCATTTATTTAAAATATATTTTATTGATCTTTTTACAGAGAGGAAGAGAGAGGGATAGAAAGCTAGAAACATTGATCAGTTGTCTCTTGCACACCCCCTACTGGGGATGTGCCCACAACTCAGATACATGCCCTTGACGGGAATTGAACCTGGGACCTTTCGTTCTGCAGGCTGACACTATCCACTGAGCCAAACCAGTTTCGGCGGGATGCTTGTTTTTAAAGGCAACATTTTTAACACGTAGCTGCTGAATTCTAGAAAATTAATAGCACCTCTGACTAAAGGTTAAATGAGCAAATAATATTGTTAAGCGTTATCTACTGGGTTTCCTAAATAGGATGAGACTATTATAGTTTAAAAAATCTTGTTCAAACTACAGATTTTTTTCTTTAATTTATTATTTATATGTTTATTTTGTTAATCTCACCTAAGGATATTTCCCATTGATTTTTATTTTATTTTTATTTTTTAAAGGGTTTGCTTTTTAATAACTGTATCATTCCTTTTTTATTTATATATATATATATATATATATATATATATATATATATATATATATATATATAATTTATTTATTTTTATTTATTTATTTTTTTACAGAGAGGAAGGGAGAGGGAGAGTTAGAAACGATGAGAGAGAAACATCGACCAGCTGCCTCTTGCACACCCCCTACTGGGGTTGTGCCCGCAACCAATGTACATGCCCTTGACCGGAATCTAACCTGGGACCCACCTTTCGGTCCACAGACCAACTCTCTACCACTGAGCCAAACCAGTTTCGGCTGATTTTTAGAGATAGGGATAGACAAAGAGAATTACTGCTGTGAGAGAAACACACTGATTGGTTGCCTCCAGCAGAGCCCTAGGGCCGGGGAGGACCCTGCAACCAAAGTAGTGCCCTTGCCTAGAATCAAAACCCAGAAGCTTGGGTCCACAGGACGATGTTCTATGCACTGAGCCAAACTGGCTAGGGCTACTAGTACAGTGTTTTTCTCTTAAATTCAAGACATAAATGCATAAACAGATTTCAAATTAAAGCCCAGATTTTAGTTTTTCTGGAAAGAAGTGGCAATATTGGACTGCATTCCTATGCAATCAGGGCCTGATTAGGTGGCATCCCATTCTCTTAGCCCACCAGCCCTTGCCCTACCTGCAGCTCACGTCTGTTACCTGCTTCTTGGCTTGTGGTCCTTTGCATTTATGTTGCCGCTTCCAGTCTCCATACTTTTCCTATAGATGCACACTAAAGACTCTGAGAATCTGGTTAACTTTGTTTAACCCAGAATTTCCAAAATTTGTTTGAAATCCATGAGCAAGGATGGCTGCTGGCATGCCTGTGAGAGTGTGGGGACACAGAATTAGAACTAGGACTTGAGTTCTATCTTGACTCTTACCAATAACACTGGATTCGTGTAGGGCAAGTTGTTCTTTATGCCTTTGCTTTTACATCTATTAGAGATAATAATTCCATACCTACATCGGATCCTAGTGGTAACTAATGATGACAACGACGTTATTTGTGAGAAGGCTGAAAAGTGAAAAACATTACAGATATGCAAAGGGCTTTTATTTTGGCCTAGTTTTTAGTAATAGCAAGTCTAGTATTAATGCTCAGTAAATAATTTCAACAGTGTTACATTCATAAGTCTCTTGCTCTAGAGTACCACTGAATAATATTTTTGAAAAGTTGATATTGGGTAATTTGGCTATGATTTAATGCTGTAGAAAATAACTCAATAACTGAGAGAAAGAATGGGTAGAAGGACGGAGGAGGGGAGGCATCTAGCTAATATTAATATTTTCTGTAATTTTATGAATATTGTAGAATGTATTAAGTTTTGTTTTTGATCCTTTGAAACAGTTGAGATTTCATTTTCTATAAGCTGTCTTGGGACATTAGGACATGGGTGTAATTTAGGCCATATTTTAAATTTGGGAAATTTTGCACATTTTTAAGAAGCAGCAGAACCAATCTTTCACTGATGACTGTGAAGATAATTTTGTGAGTACATGAAAGTTGAGTCTCTTATTTTCATTGTAGGAACACCCACCAATAAATGTGATTTCTGTTTTCATTTTGAAAACTGACTTTTTTTCTCAGGCTCATCAGTTGGGGCCTGACATCTTCAACTTGTGGTGGATTCTCAGAACAAGGGCAGGCGGGGCAAGATTTGAGAGCCAAGTGTGCCTGGCAGTTAGGTAAGTGCTGGGGGTGGAGTTCTCTATTACCCAAGGAGTTCCCATTTAATAGGGACCCTCCCCCCCCCCAAAAAAAAACAAACAAACAAAAAAAAACCACACACAAAAAAACAAAAATACAAAACACAAAACCATCAATTCTGCTACCAATAAATACTGAGGAGAATGAGAACTTGGTGATAGGATGAGCTTTCCAACCATGGCATTTGGAGCAAGATAACCCTTTGTTGCTGGGGGCTTCCCTGTGCATTGAGGGATATCTAACAGCATCCCACACTTCTATCCACCAGGGGACAGTTGTGCCCTTCCAGCTGTGACAACTGCAAATGTCCCTAGACATCACCAAATGTCCCCTGAGAGACAGCATCACCCCTGGTTGGAAATCAGGGTGACACAGGATGCCTGGGGGTGTGAAGGATGTGAGTGGGGAGGGTGGGAGTGGTGCAGGGTTGGTCAGGGACTGCCTCTGAGAAAGAGGTGACATTTGAGTTGAAACCAAACAAGGCACCCGCTTGGAGGAATCCACCCAATGCCAGAGCCTTGGGCAGGAAGAAGCTTGTGCATTAAGAGGGAGAAAGTACGGTGTATTTCAAGCACTAACAGCCATGTGGCTGCAGCCAAGTGAGTGAGGAGGTTTGGAAAGAGATGAGGCTGGGGATTCGGGCGCTGCCTCTCACAGGGGCTGGATGCAGAGGGCTGGATGAACACCTCAGTTTGAGAAGAGTCCCACTCTTAGGAAACAAAACACTTATTATTAAGGCTTAAACCGATATGCATCACCAAATTATGCCAAAAATAAATGCAGCATTTCTTAATGTGCTTCAGTGACACTGTTCTAAGTTTACACATGAAAAGCCAGTTTAGTTGGTTGGGGTGACGGAAGAGGAGGGTATGTAGGGAAAGGTTAGGGGGAGAGTAACTGCCAGTTACATCCTGGCAGTAAAGGGTTTTCACAGGGTGGTGTGAGGGCACCCTGGCCTCGGGAGAGAGGTCCTGGAAGAAGAAGGATGGGATGTCAGAGTTGGATCTACTTGCAG